AGAAACGTTGCGTCACGTGGTCATGTGACTCGCTGACGCAACAATATGCAGTTCTTTTAGGCCTATGTCTATGACACAATATGTGACAGATGATCTACCTTCTGTATCGTATAGTGTAACACATGAAAGAACTTGTAGCCTTTAGATAGGTGTTTTGTAGACAGTTTTGAATGTCTTTTAATGACTGCAGTAACGTCACCCAATGAAATATCGGGCACGACAATTTAATTATTTGTTCATCCAGGATCCTTTGTTAACAGTCGTCATTGTTTGTTTATGATAGGCCTATACGCGACGCGTAAAGAGGCTTGTTTTGATTTTTTTGAGAGGCATTATCAGAGAGAATTAACAATAAACATATACAATTATATTTTTATTCTAACTTGTGTGGAATTGTTCATCAAAAATGTTACTTGTTAGCAACATTTCACTTATTTTCATTTTTAGTCAGAAATAAGAGTATGTAATACATATGACTTTTTTTAGACTGCGTATTCATGATTAAAAACTCAGTAAAAATAAATGGAGCATGCAGTTTGTGATATGTGTGTGTTATAAAATTCCAATATTGATATTGTGCAGTAATATGCATTTGTTTTGCTCCTTATTTTAAATTTTCAAATATGCGCAACGGTCTACCCTGTTTTAGATCCAGCCAGGTATTGATCTCCAAACAGAGCGTCAGCTGTTTTTGATAATTGGACAGGTATCACTGTTAAACCACTTTTATGAACACCAGTGTTTTCATTAAATTCTTCATATTTCTAATTATGTTTATCATCACCACAAACATTAATTTTACTGTTTACTTATATGTATTCTCTAGCTTAACGGATTTGTAGAGTCTGGATTTTAACCAACCCCGTCGTCTTGCGGCTGTGGTAGATTGTGATAAATGCTGCATTGGCGGAGACGAGCTTTCAGATCAATACAGTGACGTGATAGGGACTCTGTGTGGTGGTGGAGACGTTACTATTTCAACTGACTAACAGAGTAAATCCTTCCGTTCTTCCATCAGAAATTGTGAATGTTCTGTTATTTGCAACTGATTACTGACACTGACAGCAAGAATTCTTGTTGATATTGTAAGTATCAATTACCTCATTTAGGATATTATGGTAAAAATAATCCAGATAAATTACAATTTTTTTTACCAAAAAGAGTGACATGAAATGAATGAAACGCAGTTGTTTCTGTACAGTAGAAAGTTTATAAATCAATTATTGTACACAGATATAATGATGCTGTACTCGCTATATATCGTATAGTTATATATATATATATATATATATTGTTTAAATGCAGTATGATAACATACTATCAATATCATAACAAGTAGTTGCATAGGAAACTTCTTATGGCTGTGGCCGCTTGTTAAGATGAGGATGACGTTTCGGGCTGTTTGTGTTGGTAGTGTTAGCGCAGGTTTATCACTGAAAGAAAAAACATCGGCCAGCAGCTCGAAATGTGAAACGCCGCCCTCAACTTAACAGTTAGGTACACCCCATTAGTTTCCAAACCGTGGCAGTCAGCTCTTTCCAAACTCGTTCTTAAAGTTTAAACAAGAATTTGAAGGAGAGAACTGGATGCATAGTTTTTAATTTTTATAACAGTTTTCAAATTTATTACATAGTCCACAATTATCAGGTAATACAAATAATCAACAGGAATACATTGGATAATTTTATATTTATACATTTTCATTCCTATTTTTCGTGCCCGTTTTTTAAGTAAGATTCGTAGTGGTGTTGAAAATAGTCAGTTTCTTTGTGAATACAAATCACTTGGTCCTTGCTGTTAGTTAAGGTTGCTACACATCTGACCAGTTCCATTTACAGTAGTCTAAATATGAAAAGGGAGCTGTATCATTTAATTTTCTTGGAAACCGATATGAGCCTAATCCACAATATCAAACTTTAAAGGAATTTTTATGAATGAGATACAAGTATTTGAAGTACCAAAGTAGTCCAATTTAATCTTTTATGATTTATCAATTGTTTAATATATTAGCTTAGATCCATCATCTCATGAAGTTTTATTGCTATTGCTGCAAGATCTGAAACTGGTTGTAAAATATTTGATTTTCTTTCAATTTTTATTTTACAAATTAAAATGATGTGGGCAGTTAGAAAATTTATAAACATCAAGGCCACCCCACCTGTGTTCTGTATCTAAAATATTGTTTTCTCTTGGTCACTTGGTGTAACAAGTAGTAGTTTAATGTAATTTTTGTCTTATTCACTAAAATTTGGAATTTTATGTAAAATTGTCTGTTTTTGGATTTTATGCAGTTGCTGAGATAAACTGGTTTTGGGGAATTCCATTCTTCATCAATAAATCTAGACAGAGGTAGACCAAAGAACAAGACCAGGTTTTGATTATATACTTGATTATATAATAAGTTAATAAGAAAGTATTGACTGGAATATGTACTAATGTAGATTTATTGTCTTGAAAATGTGATGCATGCTGTATGTAACATGTAATAAAAGTTTAGGTTTTGTTGTTTCTTTGGGATAACAAGCTAAAGAAAGCAATGAAAAACAAAAAAATATTTTTATTTACACATTACCAGTAGTATTAATAATGGTAGTGTTATACAGTGAATTTTAGTTGAACATTGATACAAGAAATCAGTTTAAAAAGTATAGTGAAAAATATGGTTGAATACATGTACTTTAATGACTCATATAATGAAACATTTCTCAGAAGGTCAACAGGAAGTGAACACTTAAGTGGGTGCTTGTTTATAAATTGGTAGACCCAATATAACTTTATGGATTGCCTGTGTCTATGCCATTAACAACAACTTTAGGAATAAAAAAAAATACTTTCTTAAACGATTTTGGCTTGTATCTAATACTGTTGTGAAAAAACTTAAAACCTAAGAATTAGGGTGATTAGTAGAGTATTAACATTTACTTGTAAACTGTAGGCTCTGTAATTTACATGTAATTGCCACTGAATATTTGTTTTGCCAGATAATCTAAAGAAAGTAAAGACATGGTGAACTAACTGCAGTTTTAGTTTATATACTGCCCATAACATTTGTTAAGCACATCATGTTTTTTTTGTTTGTTTGCTATTTGTTTATTCAAGGATAGAATTTTTCTTCTATAAAAGTAATCTTCTTTCATTTGATTAAGATTAATCAATAAGTATGTGGCAACCAATCAACAAGTATGTGTTGTGTTTGTTTAAAATTTATTTGAAGTTTGGATTAACCAAAACAGAAAAAGAATCATCTAATTGATGCAATTGTTTTACTTGTTTTCATGTATTGAAATGTGATGTGAATAATTGATGTTTCAAACTGTTTTTAACTTACAAACAAAAACATATTTAAAGATACAAAACTATTTCAATTATTGAAGACTTTTTTTGTTTTCTATTTAGTTTATGGGTTTTTGTGTCCAAGATTTCATTTTCATGAACCAATACTTTGTTTGCGAAATATAGTTCAGTTGTTTTTGAAAATTGTTGTCTTTAAACAAAAATATTTCTTCTATTTAAATGGTTGAATTAAGGAACTGTGTACAGCCTACCTTCTTTTATGTTGTGTTCATGATTTTCTATGAAAGTGAAAGACACTATTTCTTTACAGGTTCATTAGCTAAACAATGAACATAATGATGTGACTTTCTCTTCTACATTGTATAGTATAGACTTTAATAACAAAATAGAGTAGAGGAAGTGCCCTTTTCATATAATACATTTTTTATATTATATAAGTTTTATTATGTTAGTCAACTCATGAGGGAGACAGGTTTTTAGAAACCATTCAGAACTGTTTTCCTTACCAAATGGTCAGATAACTTACTAGGAACAATACTATTTTAGATTTATTGTTAACTCCTGATATAGAAATGGTTAAGAAGATGTAGATTAGTGAACATCTTGGTGCAAGTGATTATTGCTCAATTAGATTTGATGTTTTGCTGGATATGAAGATAAGGAATAGTGAAATTTTGGTTCCAAATTAAAATCTAAAACATTTGAAGGGATCAGATGAAAATTGGAAACTGAATTAATTGAAAATATTGATCAACTTTGGAAAATTTTAAATATAATTTGTTTTAATTTTTCAATACAGAAAGAAAAGAGTGGGTGCAACTGAAAGATCAGATTGGCTCATGGAATATAGGGGATAAAATTTAAAAAAAGCATTTTAAAGTGGAAGACTTTGAGGATTATAGAAGATCAAGAGAGTTTGTCAAACAAGGCATTAGGAAATCAAAAAGGGGTATATGAAAAAAGGTTGGTTGAAAATTTAAAAGTCAACAGTAAGGATTTCTTTAAATACTTTACTATTAGGATGGGAGTAGGTCTTTTGAGGGATGATACAGGAAGGCTCATAATTGATAATCATAAAATGACTAGGTTACTAAATTCTGCTTCTTTTTTTTTCAGTTTCTACTAATAAAGATTTAATCAATATTCCTTAACCTGAGCAGATGGAAACAAGAACAAACAAGATGATCATATTAAGTCTTAATTTGTTAATTAACAACTGGGAGGTTTAAAGAATGATAAATCTACCAAGCAAAATAATAATTTCCCCAAAGTTATCAAGGATGGATAAAGATTGGATATATGAGTGACTTGCTAATATTTTTTTTTATTCCTTGAGTAGGGGGCACATGCTAGATTATTTAAATTTAACTAATGTTACTCCTCTTTTCAAGGAATGTAATAAAAATTGTTCATGTAATTATAGGCCTATTGATCTTACATCAGTGACAAAGAGATGTTAGAAAGTCTGAGAGAAGATGCTTTGCAAATTCATTTAAAAAAGTTTCAAATTTTGTTGGACAACCTACATTGTTTTACTAGGGAAAATTTTGTTAAAAAACCTTATGCTTCTTATGTAGATAAGGGTAAGAGTGCTTTTTTTATTTTGCTTCAGTGGTGGATCCATTATATCCTCAATTGCATCATTCTCCATTTCTGGGTACAGTTTCAACTTGGAATGCTAGAATCTCTTGCTAAAGCTAAGAAATCCATCTCTTAATCAGAAGATGAATGCACTGCTACTACACCTTCAATTGGGGAAATGTAAAGAAAGAACCGAACATAAACTGTGGTTGTTGAATATGAGATGGACTATAAACTTGTTCTTAATGAATATCAAAGGTAGATCAAGAAGTTTTTTTACTGATGTGAGTTAAGCCTATAACACAGTGATTCCGAGATATTACGGCAATGGGAGAACTACATCTATAGCAAGGAAAATCTGAAATTTCTACATCAAATGAACTGGACAATAATTTGTTTGGGGGGAGGAAAATAATTTTCTCATCAGATGCTAAGCAAAAGATTATTACATTTCTAAGGGATAACAAGGGGTCAGTTTGGACCATCTAGGCTATCTCATTTTCAACTACAGATTATGAGGAATTGGTTCGTAAACACAGGCATGCTTACACATCACAATTCAATAAGAGTGTATTCTTTTCATTCACATTTATACATTATTATTATTATTATTCACTGTATTCATTTACATTCATAATTATTCTTTTATTTAATTATTTAACATTTGATATATAGTTACTCACCAATTATATGAGTTTATTGGTGTTTAATTTCTATACTAATAGTAATTTTAAGTACATATTTACCTTTTTACTAATTGAACATGGCAAGTATGTAAACTCTTGTATGCCAGAGTTTTGGTACTATATTAAATAGTGTTTAGATCTGTATTTCCAACAAGTTGGAAATTAGTGTGTAAAGTTGTGTATAAACAACATCAGTAGTGTACAACCAAGAATGTAATGTTGGTGTCAAGAGTGTAATAATTTTGTAGCCCAAGTTAAAGTGGTCTATATTGATGTGAGCCAGTTGTAACAATGTTGTAGAAAATCACAAAGTTTAGTTCACCATCCTACTCCAAACTACATGTAGAAACCATTATCTTATATTCAACCTACATCTTAAAAAAAACAAAGAACTCCTCCATTCTCCTCTTAATCTTCTTCACCATTGAAACTTCTACTGTATATAAAGGTAAATTATTCCATAAGCTGACCACTTAACTAGAAAGTGCTGGAAACAAGTACATTTGTGTGGTGATGGATTATTTCACCAAGTAGCCTGAGGCGTATGCAATACCAAATCAGGAAGAAACAACTGTAGCAAATCTTCTTCAAATTTGGTATGCTATATGAACTGCATTCAGATCAAGGCCGTAACTTCGAATCAGCTGTGTTCCAAGTCTGCTGCAAGTTGTTTGGCATCCAAAAGACCAGGACAATGCCACTTCACCCACAGTCCGATGGGATGGTAGAAAAGTACAATTGGACACTGGGACAGGAATTGGCAAAGTTTTGTAATAGCCACCAGGATGACTGGGATATCTTACTCCCTCCACTGTTGATGGCCTATAGAACAGCAGAGCATGAAGCCAGTGGATAGACTCCAGCAAAGTTGATGTTTGGTCGGGAACTTTGGTTGCCAGTGGATCTGTTAACAGGATGCCCACCTTATGAAGAGTTGCCTGAAAATGTGTCAGAGTTTGTGAAAGTGTTATCGAAAAGGATGGATGATATTCACCATCAGGTGCATTCAAACTTGAAAACGTCTGCTGATTCGATGAAGTTATGTTATGATAAAAGATCTACTGAAGTCAGCTTTGTACCAGGAGACAAGGTGTGGTTCTATAATCCCAGGAAGACCAAAGGGAAGTCTCCTAAGTTGTCTTCTCCATGGGAAGACCCATATGACATAGTGGATCGTCTCTCAGATGTGGTCGGCGAGGTAAGCCAAAGGTGGTGCATGCCAACAGGCTTTGCTGTTATCATGGTCCAGGACATTTCAGTTGGGATGAAGTGAACAATGGAACAAAAGACGCCACTGAAAATGTGTCACCTGGAAGCCACTGTCAAAGAAGAAACTCTACTCGGTTTTGAGAAGGGAAACAGTGAAGCCCTTGATGAAGTTACTACCACTGATGTGACTGTTACCAATGATAGGACATTTCCTGATGAAGTAGATGAACCTCAGGTGAAGCAGAAGCTAACGAGACGGAGACCAGTACGGAAGAAGACACGTCCCGTAAAATTAAGAGACTTTGTTGAATTGTAATTTTGTGTTTGTAATTCTGTACAGTTAATT